AAGTTATTTATAATTGTTAAAAAATATATAATAATGTATGTGAGTGTCAAATGGGGGGGTTAGGGCAGGTAATTAATCGCCCCCCCTTGGTTTTTGCTAAATTTTTTACAATCATATAATAATATGTCGTGTACTTCTGACTGTTGGTTGACATCCACAGTATAAGACCCCTCAGGTTAGGAGTACAAATCCTCTTTGGCACAATTGACCTTAAAGATGTGGTACTTGAATTGTTATGCACATTAAAGGTGATTGGAGACTCATATAATAGCAATTGACTATTTCTTTTGATATATATAATCTCTGAAGGTCGTAAATCCTTTTAGTTCACGGGTTCAAATCCCCCGTATGTAATATGTGTTATTTGAATATTTAGCATATATAGAGATTATCAGTGCCCGTCAAATAGCTTTCGGCCATTGCTTTAATATATATATATATATAAATTGAGACCCGTATAAACTTAAATATTTAATAATGATTAAATTATTATTACATTTTAAAACTAGTAACTATTTTCTAATTATTTAAAAAAAATTATTATAAAATTATAATTTCATCTTTAAATTCGATATTCTTATAAAATATTTCCCGAAATACTTTATGTATATAACTCTTAAAACTTAGAAAAAAGCATCTCAATTATGAATCAAATTTTTAGAATTTTATGACAAGTGCTCAAGATGAATTAGAATAAAAAAAAAATTATAATTGTATTAAAATGTATTCATTAAGATGGATAAAAGTCAAGCTGAAAACATAATTAAAAAAATATTTTTTTATTTATTTTATAAGCTATTTTAAGCCATTTTTTATCTTATTGCCCAATTGGGGCAAATCTATAATTTTTTGGGCAAATCTATAATTTTTTGGGGCAAATCTATAATTTAGCTGGAAAGGTGGCGTGCTTCCATGTAATAATAAAAGTCTCTGCAACCCGGGAGAAGTCGTCGGGTAGTTATTGCTTCTCTCTCTCTCTCTCTCTCTCTCTCTTACTTTGCATAATTAAAATTCGACTTTTTAATAGCATAAAATATCCGAATCATATAATATATTATCCATCTAAGAAAAAACATTTTTTGTTTATAGTTTAATTTTTCCTTTAATTTATTAAATAATTATAATATTTTTATTAAAAAAAATCGAAAAATCAAATAAAAAAATGAGATTTACATATATACCATAAAATCCTTACTTTTTATAATTATAGTGCCCCAAAATGTTTATATCACATCAAATTATAAAGATGTTTTTAATGTGCAAACAAAATGGTATATATGTAAATATTAAAGTTTAGGTATTAAATGTATAAATGCATGAGCATTAACATGTTTAATATCACATAAAACTTACGTCATCTATTTTTAAGAAGTTAAATACATATTTTCATTTCTCTCATTGCTTTCAAATCAATGAAGATATTAATATCTAACAGTTCCTCTTAAAATTCTCTGAACTATTACATAAATGCCACAAAATTTCTATGTATTTACAGATCTACCATTTAAGCTTTGATTTTTATATTTAAGGCATTTTATTTATGCTAAAAAAATTGCATTTTGCTCTGAAAAAGTTTACAAAAATGATATTTTGTAGAGAGATGAAATATTTAAATGTATAAATTAAAAAAAAAATTAAAGTTTAAGTCTTAGATATATAAATACATATGAATATATGGTATTTATGTAAATGGCCATTATGAATTTTAAAAATGGGAAAGAAGAGGGCTTTGGTTTCTCCCAAGTCAGCTACAAATTTATCAGACCTTAAACCTTTTTGTCGTTTTGCATGCTTTATGAGGCAATTTTGCTGGCTGGATTTCGGTCTGAAAGTTGTGTACTTCAATGAAAATTAGTGGAAAGAAAGAATGTCATGAATGTTTCCTACAATAGCGCAGCTTTTCTTCACTAATTACCAAAAAAAGCGAGGAGTAAAATGCAAAAAACGCTGTAAAGGAAGATTTGCATAAAAAGCACTCAATATTTATGTATTTATGTATGAGACACCTAAAATTCAACTTTTTATGTTTTTTAAGCGTTTAGATATGTAAATACATAGAAATTTGGCGGTATATATAGAAATGCTCTTTTTTTTTGTGTTAGAGTGATAGAAAGTCTACCCATGAGTTTTGGGTGTATTTAGACTCATGATAGTTGCATGTTCTAATTTACAATTCGAAGACGTTATTACAATTTTCAAATGCCGCCTTCCGGTTATTACATTAATGATATTATGAAAAATTGAATTTGATGCGATATCATAATAGAGCTGATATTTAAGAAAATATTATCTCATTGATTCTAGATATCCCATGCAGCGAGCTTTTTAAAGATCTTTCCTAGCATGAAGTACCACATTCCTGATATTCGATGTAATAGCTAAGTGGTTTGAGAAAAGAATGAATTATTTAACAAAAAATGCTCTTAATTATGAAGTGTATTTGAGAAAACATTTTGTGTATAAAAAAATTGGGTTATAGTCAGAGATATTCCAACATATCTCTTCAAAAATTAAGTAAGCATAGTTGCAACAGCGATATCTTTGCATAATTTTATACGCAGACATCCATCTCAAGATGATGTTGACTTTAGGGTCTTAAATGACAATCCTACTTGCATACATGTTGAAGCATACAAATATCAAACATGACAATCAATGCTAGATTAAGCTTTGAGATGACCCATAGAGAGGGTGTTCATAAATAATTTAGCTAAGGAAATGAATCACATATGCTTTAATGAATCTGTCAAATTCCTATACTGATTAGTCGAGGAAGCAAATCACGTAAGGATGCATGTTGAGATGTATTTTGGAGTTTTAATTATCAATCTTATTTTTTTGTGAGATGTATTAGAAATTATTGGTTGAATCATACTATTCTTGTCATGATTTGAGTCTTATATTTTTGTTATTATGTTTGAACTTTAGAGTTGATCATGTGCTTTGAGTATAAAGAACATTCAATATTCATATGGTGATGATGTTTTCTTATAAAATATGTGTGGATGAGGTTATCATGTATACATTTATATATGTGTTGGTCATATTTTGTTGAAGTTTAGGAAGTCAAAGTACTTCCATTTATAGCTTTCAATGTTCTATGATGTCTATGAACATGAACTTTTTTTTTTTTTCTTGAGGTCTATGATGAGTCATGATTTTAAGATTTCTTTTGGATCGCCTTTATGTTGTTTGTTTTTCAACATATAAGAGTTTGGTAATAAACATTTACATGCAACCAAGATATCATTCTTGATGCATTCTTTTATGTTGGCTATGAACCTTTAGTTAAATATTTACTTGTTCTATTTCACATATAGTATTATTTTTCGATTAAACATTAAACATTGTATTTTCAGAAAATATGAGTTCACTGATTTCAAATTCTTCTAGAGTTTTGTAGTGTAACTATAGTATGTCATATTCTAAGTGTACTTCGTGATGAGAAATTAGCTATGAGAGACCACTCTATAAGTGTTCCAGAAATAGAACAAGTGAAAATTATAATTTTCTTAGATGAACTGATGATGGTGAGGTAATCACTTCAAGCAGTAATCATGTATGGAGAGAAACATTTAAAAGAAAATTTTCACGAAGACTTCATCTTTTGGACATGAAAGATAATATTACAGTAACATTACGTTTCGTTATTACAATTCTATTATCGTCTTATTATGTGTTAAGTGATTTATTATAGTTTTTGTACCAAACAGTTGATTTCTAACTCTTTTTTGGACTGCTAAATTTTTTTATATCATTCCGTTTGAATTATTTCTGAAACTTCAAACTTATAATCAACACACACACACACGACCGATCATCAAAACAGACAAACTGTTTTACCATCAACAACTTTCTAACAGTAACTTATCCAGGAAGAAGTTTCACAGTTGTTAATTATACACATATCGTAATTTGGACAAACCGTTTTACCATCAACAGACAAACCGTTTTTTGGACTTCTAAATTTTTATGAGAAATATTTTAGGTGAGAGTATGCCTGAATTTTAATTCAAATGAATTTTTATAATCTTAATATTTCTTTTAAAAATAATCTAATATTAAAATTTATTAATTATACACATATCGTATACAGCCTTAATTGAATTTAAATATAAATTATAAATTTTAATTAGCATATTTAGATTAAAATTTTCATAATTTGTAATTTTAATTAGCATATTTATAATAATTAAAAAAAATATAGAATAGAAGGCTTAAAAATATGCCTGCCTTTCAATGACAGCATACCACGTCATTGCCAATTTATTAAAAATAATAATTTATATAAATTATCATTTTTTCTTTTCCTAGAAGCTATATTAATTCTTAAAATTACATATTCACCAATTCAAAATAATTCATATTTATTTAATTAAATAACACTTATTTTTTAGATTTATATTTATATTTACAACACATGGAAATATAATATCAAATTATTTATGTGATATTAAGAAATTTAAATATTTAGATATTATATATGTGCATATGTGTGTGGATGCGCATAAATGACCCTACTTTTTCTATTTATTATATATTTGCATGAGAATATTAGCTATTAAAAATGACATTTTTAATATTCAAAATAAAAATGTTATAACTAAAGATAATAAGAGGATTTGATTAATATTTCATTAGAAACTATATTTCAACAAATTTCTGCGATTTATTTATCTCATTCATCATCTTTGTTGGTTATGAGCGCTCAATATTTTAAGCGGGGAAGGCATCCTATCAGTGGGTTGGAGTCTGCATAGCGCCGCACCACCGAAAGCGACCACAGCGTCTCCCTCTGTCTCTCTCTCGCTCTGCGCTTGCTTCTCTCTGCGCAAAACTTAATCTTGCTCATTAAGAAGAGAGGAAATGGATAGAGAGAGAAAGGACTGATCGAAGTGACGTGACTATATAGTCTCAACCTTCTTCTTCTTCCAGGTTCTAGAAGGAGAGAGAGAGAGAGAGATAACAGACATGATAACAGACATTGAAGCTGCAACAGACATTGAAGCTGCAGGATCGGATGGTGGGTGGGAGAGAGTGAATCGGGTTTTTTTCAGAGCATTTCAGAGTTAGGTTGGTAGAAATTTGGGATTTTGTAGAAGGCAGTGATGAAGTTTATGAAGCTGGGATCGAAGCCAGATTTGTTTCAATCTGAAGGAGACAACGTTAGGTGAGACCGCCATTTTTGTCTTCTGGATTCTTCATCTTCTCCACTAATTCCCTTTTTCTTTGGTTCCAAAATCTGTTTTTGAAATTATTTTTGGTTTATTTGAGATGCATGCGGCCTTGTCTGGAGTTGTCTGGAGTTTTATGGCATTTGGCGGGTATCAGTTTTTTGGGGGAAAAAAAATAACATGTTTGATTTTCTCTTCTGCAATTTCATTGCTCTCTGTAATTTTTCTTTGAAATGGCTTTAAAAAAAATGTCATGTTCTTTCATTTTCTGGTTTGTAGGGTTTAAGAACTGCACTTTTGATTTAGGAGATAATTTATGCTGAAGTATCTTCTTGTTTAATGCTGTTATAAACTTGCATGAATTTCCATTTTTTTTTTTTTGGCTATTCACTGTAATTTTTCTTTACCGAGTTTAGAGGCTGGGATTACTGCGCAAATAGTTTATATTGCCCCCTTGGGTTTCTATTTTAGAGCAAGACATGCTTCTTTTGGCTGCCATGTGATTTCTGTACATCCCATTCCCTTTACTGTTCATTAACTATAATGTGGACAAGTTCTATATATCTTTTATGTTTTATCTGGTGTTTTTTCTTGCGTTTCTTGTTCAATAGATGTAAGGAATCATGATTTCCTAACCTTTTCTATTTATTTTTGAAAAAAAAAATTATGAATATAGTCCTCTGATCCATTGTTGGGTCGTTTTAACTCTGATTTAGCATCAGCATTGAGATGGAAGTATTTTTAGAAGAATCTGATTTAGCTATGTGGTTTTTTTATTGCTGCTAATTTTTAATTCGTTGTGTTTATGAGTTTTCTGTTTCTATCAGACTACTTAATTATTTTTCTTCTTTTAGAAATTGCCCATGAAGACTCAAAACGCATTGCTTTTTTCTGCTAGTTTTTTCGAGTGTTAATGGTGAGAAAATTACAGTTTAATATCATAGTTTTGATCAAATAAAATGCAAAATTCTTGAAGAGGATGAAGAGTTGAGAAGCATTTGCTGTTTTCTTGAGTGCAATTTATCAATTTTACTTGCAATTTTTTTTTAACAAAAGGCTTACAAATAGTGATGAACTCCTGCAGGTTTGTGTCATCAGAACTGGCCACTGATGTCATTATTATTGTTGATGAAGTCAAGTTCTACCTGCACAAGGTTAGCTCTTTCTACAGTAACTTTTTCTATTTTTTTATTTTTTTCCGATTCAGCCAAGCTACTTGTTCACGGAAGTATAAATATCTCTTAATTATTAATATTTAATCATGATATTTTCTTTTTTTTGTAAAAGAAAATCCTTTTATTTTTTATATATACCGCCAAAGGCCTAAGTTTGGCTGCTTCTGAACTGTAGTTTATCTAAACCATGTGCATATCTGTGACTGGCTAAACGAAAAGGAATGGCTCTTAGTAGAGGTGGGATTGGATTCTATCAAAGCTATTTCTCATGATTCTATTTTTATAATTTCACTATTTTAACTCTACTGTTTGGGTTCTTATAAATGGTTAGGAGAAGGAAAATGGTCGCTTTTGTGGTGTGGAGAGGGTGGGGGCAGGGAATCAAATTGCTTCCTTACGCTTAATAATTCATTCTCCTTTGGCTCTTCTCCACCAAAATGTGGTTTTTAATTGGACATATGTTATTTCAAGTAATGAGAACAAAATTTTGAGTTTTATTGTTGAGGGAGTATTATCGCCTTCTCTTGTGGTAGTTAGACATTGCAGATTATATGGGATTGTTAGTTCTTGTATTAAGTTCATAATTGTAGTTAATTACTTGATTAGTGTTAGTGAGATTCTTGTACTTTTAGGAATAGTTTCTATTGGAGATATTGAAGGGATAGAAAAAAATGTGATAAGCTTCTTTCCCTTATGTGATTTCTTCTTCTCGCCCTATTCCCTAATATTTGTAGTTGTTGGCATCCTCGTATTGCCGTTTATCTCTCTCTAGTCAGGGTTTCTCTTCTCTTATTCTCCCCTGCCTAGCTTCTGGAGTTGCCAGCATCTTCGATGTCTCCAATAGAGATTATCTATAGAAATACAAGATTCTGACTAACACTAATTAAGTCATTAACTATAATTATGAACTTAATACAAGAACTAACTATGTCATATATCCTATTAGTTGCTTGGTGAGCATTCTTGGTAAGGTTGAAAATTGGAAGGCTTGGTTGTCCAATTTATGCTTTAGAAAACGAGTTTGCGCACAACTGTCTACATTTGAAAATATGATTATTTATTCTATTTATGTTTTAGTGATACTTAGAAAAATATATTTAGACTTTTCTTTCATTAAGCTATAGTTGCAAATTCTAATAATTAGGTTTTATTTCTAGATTCACTTTTATTTAAACCATAGGCTGCATGACTAATGGCATAAATTTTGTTTTAGCTCATATTCACTATGAACATTTATTATAAAATGATGCAAACTGTTGGATTCCATCATTTTGCTTTCTTGTAATCACAACTGGACATCTTGTTTTAACTCCATAAACTTACCTAAATGTAATATTTCTTAAAAAATTTTGTTCAACATCAATCATTTTGTCAGAACTTCATTTTTTTTTTTCTTAATGCAGTTTCCTCTTCTTTCCAAGAGCTACCGGCTGCAGAGACTGATTCTCGAAGCGAATTGCGAAGGCACCGACAAGATTAAGATGAACAATTTTCCTGGCGGGCCGCAAGCTTTCGAAGTATGTGTTAAATTTTGTTACGGGATGACTGTCACTCTCAGCGCCTATAATGTCGTTGCCGCCAGATGTGCTGCTGAATACCTTGAAATGACAGAGGACACCGAAAAAGGCAATCTTGTATACAAAATTGAGGTTTTCTTAAACTCGAGTGTGTTTCGTAGCTGGAGAGATTCGATCATAGTTCTCCAAACCACAACTTCCCTGCTGCCTTGGTCTTCAGAACTGAAAATTGAGGGAAGATGCATTGATTCCATATCCTCAAAATCCTCTGTGGATCCCTCCAGTGTTCACTGGTCTTACACGTATAACAATAAGCCAATAATTTCGGATAAGATCGCCGAGATTCAGCCAAAGAATTCGGTTCCGAAGGACTGGTGGATCGAGGATTTATGTGAGCTTGACGTTGATCTCTATAAGCGCACAATGGTGGCGATAAAAGCAAGAGGAAGAATGTCTTCTGATTTGATTATAGAAGCTCTGAGAGCTTACGCGATGAGATGGCTGGCAGACTCTGATGAAACTTTAGTTTCTTCTGATGATTGCACTAAAAGAAACAAGTATGTTGTAGAAACTCTAATCTGGCTTCTTCCATCAGACAAGGCTTCTGCTTCGTCCTGTAGGTTTCTGCTACAATTGCTTAATGCGGTTCTTTTGGTTGATTGTGGGAGTTTTTTGGAGGAGGAGTTGATGAATAGGGTGAGTGCACAATTGGATAAGGCTTCGGTTAAGGATTTGCTAATACCTTCGAGGTCATCGGGCGAAACTCTTTATGATGTTCCGCTCGTGCAAAGTCTGGTTAAGCGGTTTATGGTGCTTGAGCGAAGTGTGAGGGATGGGGGTTATGGTGAGTGTGAGAATAGAGCGGCGGGCTTAGTTTTGGGTCATGCATCTTTGGTTAGCGTGGGTAAGTTGGTTGATGGTTACCTTATTGAGATTGGAAGAGACTCGAAGGTTGAGGTGTCGAGCTTTGTCGAGCTCGTGCAATCACTTCCGGATGCAGCCCGGCCGATGCATGATGGATTGTATGCTGCTGTTGATGTTTTCCTTAAGGTATCCTTTCTTGTTGAAAAAACTCAACTTTACTTTCAAAAGTGTTGTACTGTGCATTTCTTATGATTTTTTCGACATTTTATGAATCATGAGCATGCGTATTTAAATGTCAAAATGGTCCATGATTGTTTACTTGAAACTATTTTAGTCCCAAGGTCTGTAGAAGTATTGAGGGAAATTTGCTTTTTTGAATACTCTGGGACTAAAAAGCCTCTCTGCAAAGAACCAAGGAATCATTTTTGTTCTTCTCTCATGCTGTATGCATTAATCCACAATGAGTGAATCAAACATTCCTTTTTTGTTGTAATTGTGTAATTTACAAACTAGTGAGCTCCATTCTCCTAATTTTTTGAATGTGTGCATTAATTTCAGGGACACCCTGATCTAGCAAAAGCAGAAAAGAAGAGGATTTGTTCATTGATGGATTTGAAAAAACTCACCCCAGAGGCATCCATCCATGCGGCGCAGAACGATCGTCTGCCACTACGAGTAGTGGTGCAAGTCCTCTTCTTTGAGCAGATGAGGGCTGCTTCCACTGCCGGAACCCTAAAAGCTGCAACTGGTAGCATATTAAACCGGAGCTCAAGATTAACAGGAGTGGTTGAAAAAGAATGGGAGGCCCCAGCATCAGAACACTGCAAGTCCTTAGAAAAACAACTAAGGTTTCTGAAAGTTGAGGAAGATGATAGGCGGAGGGAGATAAAGAATGAGAATGAGAAAGATAACAAGAACAGATTGTTGCCATCCCGGTCGAGAAGAATACTGGAGAAGTTTTGGGTGGGGAAGATTCAGGTTGGGCAGAACAATCGGAGCTCGGAAACTTCCGGTAGTTCACAGAGCCCGCCGACTTCTGCAACAAATCCGGTGGCTTCGACGACAAAGTCTTCTGGTTCTTCTTCAAGGCCGCGGCGGCACTCTGTATCTTAGGAGAGTGTTGTCATCTTTTTTTTATTTTGTAATTTTAACTGATGTGAGTTGGAGACCAGAGAGAATTGGAATTGGAGAGGGGGAGTGGAGATTATGTGTCTCCTTGTTCTTTGGTTCTGTTTTGGGGGCTTCTGATTGGAATGGGAAGAGAATGTAAGCAGAAAGTATTTGATTTTAATGTCTTCCAAGTTTTTTTCAGTTCCTAAGAGCTGGGAGCAATTCTGCTTTGGGTTCTGGTTTATTTTAGCATGCTGTTTGACAGCTTAGGCTTCCATCGAAGATATGTTATGCTAATGTCTTCGGTGAAGCTCTTTTAAATGTCACGTTGGCAGAATGGAGGTCGACATCTGTATTTTTTAAGGGCGAAAAAATGTCATTTTTGCAAACCAGCGTTGGCAGACACTCGAGAAATGATACTTCATCCAAACCACACGTCAAGGTTTACGCCTTTCTGTCCAACGCAAAGGAGCCAGAATGACGCTCCAAACAAAGCATAAATTTGTTAGAATGTTGTAAAAAGAAAATAAGATTATGGGATTAGTTTTAGAAAAGTTGAACAAATTTGTATAATGTTTTTATTAATGTTTGATTGTTAAATGAACAAGTTTGAATGTATCCTTATTTGATTCGCTTGTGTTCGCGAACAATATCATTTAATTTATTCAATTCATTTATATTCACAAATATTATTGTTTAAAGTTCGTGAACAAGCTCATTGGCTCATTGAGAAATTCGATAAATAAATTTATTTAAAGTTTATAAATAAGATCTATTTAATGCTTGTGGATAAAATTAGTTAAATAAGTGTATGCAATTTAGTATATAAAATGAAAATATTATTAAATATTTTGCTTTGCCAAGTGGTATTTAAATATTTAAGGGTAGGGGATAAGTTGGGAGCTAGGTAGGTTAACTCAACATCGGGTAGCTCGGCTAGTCAACTCATCAGAAGATTATCAGGATAAGCTGTTTATCAGCAGAAGCTGAATAAGCTGAAGCTGCCCCAAACAGACCCTTAGTAAGCTTAGCCAGTAGACTCAGACAGTTAACTCGATGAGCCAATTTGACACGATAAGTTTAGGGATTAATTAAAATTTATATATATACTTTAAAATGATATATAACATTAAATTTATATAAAAAAAATGAAAATTTAAGCAAGTTTGTTTAGAAGAATTAAATTATTTTTCTTATAGGAATATTTGAATGTCAAAACATAAAAAAATAGTTAGAAATTATGTCAATTATGGTAGAAGCACAAAATTATTTACTTTATAACAATAATAATAATAATAATAATAATAATAATAATAATAATAATAGATTGATTAAATGTTAATTTAATAATGATTAGGATTGCCTAAATAGAAATATATGCTAGGATTTTTTGAATTAAATGCTAAATTAGCTAAATCTTAGCAAATGTTTTTTGCCTAAACCTCAAACCCTAAATTTATTAATATTTTTCATATATTTAATTAGAATTATAAATTCTTAATCAATGATGGTTTATTTTTAGTCAGTACATTAATGAATGATTAATTAGTTTTGTTAATAACAAATTAAAATTATCTAATGAGCATTGTAGTATCAATTTTAGTTAATTAGAAATCATGATTGATGATTGATTATATTAACAAATAACTAAATTAGTTAATAAGAAATTACTGATAATTTATTGATTAATTATGCTTAATTATAATATTATGTTATATTAAGTGATTTTAATTTGTTATTAAAAAATTGTGATACTTACATGCAGACCTCCCACAACATTGATATTTATAAAATAACCCCTCTGGTTGTTCTTTTGAACAATCGAACCAATCCTATTTACAGGTAGGTTGGTGGATTTGTAAATAACAAATTTTGGTGGGAGTATGTAACAAATTTTGTTACAGCCGGCGTAAAATTCAGAAATTGCTTGAAGGGAGACCAGGGAAGAAAAATGGCGGCCAGAATACAAGCTTCGCCGGCTCTTTACTCCTGCTCCACCCTGCTTTCTGGCTCATTCTCGAACCTATACCTCTCCCGCCGGCGAACATCCACTGCT